AAACAAATGAACTCTGGGGCTGTCTCTGAAATGAAGACTCATACTTTGTTTTCTGCCTCTGAAACCTGCACTACGTGTGCAACCAACAGGCTTTAGACCACTCTAAAAACATCTTTGATGGTATGGCTGCTCACTGCTGCACCGGGAGGAGAAAAATCAGATAAAGCCCTTTTTTTTTGTTGTTCAGTTCCCCAGTCCCATTTGTATGAATTCACTGGCAATTCTTTTTTTGCAGAGCACAGGGACAAAGTAAAACTCACTCTTGTGCTTTACTCAGCTAGGCTCAGATACTGAYGCACTAATAAAACATGGAAGACAGTTCTTCTGCAACCTCTGCTCCACACAGACACAACAGTTTAAAATATGTACTCTCCTGAGCACAAAGGGTAGGATCTGAATGTTAACTACGCAGTTAGGCTGGAACATGAAGCTGGAGAGCCAGTCAAAGAAATAATAAACTGYGAAAGAATCTAAAACAAAGTAAACAACTTCTATGAAGTTGTGAGTCTCATGTGCTTCAGCAAATTTTTGATGATGACAGCAGTCAAGCGGAGCCAGCAGTTTCCTAATGGAAATGGAAATAAGCACGTTGCTTTGCAGTCCCAGCATAGGGCATCCTTTGAAGATTTATGCTGAAATTGTTTCTTGTCTTCTGAATAGTACAGGAGTATAGAGTTCTCAAACTGAGATAATGCTACTGCTATACAAACAAATGCCATGTTTACAAGTGTGTCCTGCACACAAAAGCATTTAATGGAAATAACCTAGTGGAACATATGCAGTAACATCTCAGTGATGTGAAAAGATTAAGTTATTCATACAGTTTCATTCTTCTAGGTCTGTTCATCCCCAAAAATAGGGATGAAATACCAAGGACTATAATGGTCCYAGGAGCAGTGAACTCCCATGTCTACAAAATTCAACAGAAGTCTTTCTGCCTACTGTGTATAGTATCATGGAATATTTGGTGATAACATTCAGGTGGCTAACTTTACTATTTAATGTTGCCAGCAAATACCCTTACAGGAGGATTTAAGTGAGCCCACAGAGTTTCCCACACTTACATGCATTACTGCATCACAGAATAGCGTGGCATCGTGACAGCTGTTTCAGTTTTAACTTGTCAATACCAGTATTAGAAACAGAACTTAATAGCATGTTATTTCAGTAGAAATGTTGGCGAAAGTGATCTTAAAARAAAGAAATGCATATCTGTGCACCTTAGAAATATATCATGACCATCTCAAATATCAAGTCTCAGACCATTATGATTTGAAATAGATGAACAAAAATATCCACAATTCAGGGTTGGTAAAGTAACTCAGTCTTCAATAAGTGAGATGTAACAATACCATATAAGGCTGCATTTTTATTCAGGCTTTTAGCAACAAAATAAACTGCAAGAAGAAAGTCCAAAGTAAGAAAAAAACGCAAGTTATTAAAATACTTTGTTTTACAGTGCTTGTGTATTAATATAAACCACGTTGAGCTGAATGTAAAAGTTATTGGCCAGCTAGTGKATTTCTTAGAATTACTGTCTCATAACTGTCCTTTCTGATAGCAGAATGCTACTTTTTGTATTCATGTAGCTCAACAGCAATTTCCAAATTGATTTAGCTTCTTGCAAGAGAAAAAACATGCATACCAACACTGAGAAAATACAGTTGTTTTCCTCCTACAACCACAGAGAGCAACCCTTTCTTTTTTTTTTGCAGGCCAAGGCAGGAAACTCCTGCTGACAAGTAAGCAAGGGTTCAGGGTACACAATACAGAGAGGCTGCCTTGTGAGGTTTCAGTTACGGAAAATACTTTCTACCAAGTTCCTTTCACCCCACCTCCCATCTCATGCATGTCCCTGTTGCTGCTCAGTACCATGGCCACTTTTCTGCTCCTGAATAACAAAGAGCTGCTGGGCAGGAGGTTGAGAGCTGTATTTAGCACATGAAGGGTCCCAAATTGGGAATAAGACTGTATGATATCATGAATGTGCTACAGACTCCATGGAAGTGTATCAGGTAAAGCCCAACAGTTGAGTGATCTGCACAGCGCACATGGCTTGACAGTCCTGATACTAGTAGGCTGGGCCCAGAAATCGCAGCCCAATATTAATAACTTCAAGGCTCACATGTACATTATTTTGTCAATTTAGAATCTGCCATTTAGGAAATCAAATCATGATAAAGACCTACCAGACAATCTCCAGGCTAGTGCCTCTCAGCAAACTGGCTGGCTGAATTTGTTAATTCAGTATTTTCCAAACTTAGAAGGGGAACCCTGTTTCAGAAAATGAAATCAATTATTGTCTGCTTCAGTTCTGTCTATGCTGTTAATAACTTAACAATTTTCAGATTAAATTTTTAAAATCTCATCTCAGATGCTAGACCTTCCACTTGTATTATAATGTGCTACCAGCAAGAATAGGCTTCAATGACAAACTAGCAACTTGGGTTAGGTTTAGCAACCTAAATCAGCACAAAAGAAGAAAGGTAATTTCATAATTGTATGAAGTAATTTCAATCTTTGTAGATACTAGTACTTTGAAAAAAAAAAAAAAAAGAGAAAAAAACAAGTGCAACTCAGGTGTGCCAAACCATCGGAATAATCTACTTCCTGAAAAGAATATCTGAAAACAGTTTTATGTAATTTCTCTAGTATCTTTTTATGAGCTTAAGGGTTTACCCCATATACAGAATGAAGAAGTTCCCTTGAAATTTAAGCACAGTATAGATATTGTTAACACTGATACTCAATTCAGTCTTGTCTTTTCCTGACGTGAGATATGCTGGCAAGACTTCCTTGTCATTTTATATCCACAAAATAATTTTGCAGGTATGTGAAGAGCAAGACTACACAATTTCAGAGGGGAAAACCCCTAGGTGTTTTTCCTAGAGAGGGAAAATCTCTCTAGGCCAGAGATTCCTGGTCAACAGTATCTCTTTCTTTTCCCTGCTTCCCTAAAAGGTCTCATCATTTTTTTCTTAAAAAATGTGTTCACTACCTTCAAAATTRGAATATAAATTCTATGGTTTTAACTGTCTCAGCTGAAACTTGTGTCCTTGGTCACTYCTTAAAATAAGTCTAAAAGTATCTTACCCAGTAGATTTGGAATTTGTTAAACTGAGCAGAATTGATTATTATGCCTACTTGGCACAAAATAGGATTTATTTCTGCTATCCTTTGAATGCTCACTGAGATGAAGTTTGCCACCTTTCTGGTGCTTATGCAGCCACAATTTCTCTTCTTACTTACTAACAATTTAACAAGACTTTRTCTTAACAGAGATTCAAAAGTTCACAGAGAAAAAGATTAAATGCTGTCATTTGTTAATTACACTGAACACATTTTATCTTTTTCTTTCATAATTTATGAAAATTATGGAAGTGGTAATATGAGTATGCAAAGGACTATAAATAGGAGAAGCAACTATTCCATTAATATTTCYTATTTTTTTCATAACCTAAATCAAAACATGTTGCATTCCAAACAAATTTTGCCTTTGGGGTGAATTAGTACAACTACGACTGTTAGTGGATGTTGTGCACAATCTCCTGAACCCTTTTTTGAAGAATATATCCTTCCACGAGGCATATAAAATGCCTTTTCATTTTGTGAATTGCAGGAGACATTGGAAAATCCTTTTTCAGCATTAGTCAGACATCTTCTTACTTTCAATAGAATCATAGAACCATAGAATCATAGAATGCTTAAGGCTGGAAGGGACCTTTAGAGATCATTTGAGATCATTTAGTCCAACCCCCCCTGCACACGCAGGGTCACCTAGAGCACGKGGCACAGGGCTGCATCCAAGCGGGTTTTAAAGATCTCCAGAGAAGGAGATTCCACCACCTTTCWGTGCAGCCTGCTCCAGGGCTCTGTCACCCTCACTGTCATGAAATTTTTTCTTAAGTTCCTGTGGAAATGTTGATGCTTCAGTTTGTGGCCGTTTCCTCTAGTCCTATCGCCGGCCACCACTGAAAAGAGGCCAACCCCATGCCTCCTCACTCCTTTTGCTGAACTTGAACCAAAAAAAAAAAAAAAAAAAAAAAAAGGTTCTAACCTGATTAACTTGATGATTTAAATTTCTATATATTTTTGAGCATCATCTTCAAAGCCGGCAACTACTGACCCCCTAGATTTTACAACAAGAAACTAACTAATCTTGTGTCGTTGCTGGTATTTTTCAGTACCATGAATCAGTAACTGGTCCTGCTGTTTATACAACACATGTGAGGACATTATTGAAAATGCACATATCTGTCTTTAGGTATACTGGGTATAAGTGTTGCTGTATCTTACTAGAGTCTCAACTTTTATTTTTTTTTTCTTATAACTACAATGGTTTTAACTATTCTTGAATGAGRGAATGGAAAGCAGAAAAGGAAGTAGATTTCTTATGATTTTCAATTCATATCTTTAGGGAGGCCACTGTGCACTTCTTGGGGGAAGTAGGAGGTTAAATTAAATGGTTTTCTAGTGTGCTACATTATTATCTTTTTAATTCCTTGTACATTACCACAAATGACGACAGTGTGTCATTCCTGAACTGCTCTTGGCTTGCTGTCCCCAGCCTTCTATTCAAACGCCGGTTAACGGCGTTTTCCATAACACGAGGCCAACCGCAAACGGTGCCTCCTCTCCCAGCCTCCCTCAGCTTTGCAAACGCTGCCCACTGTCCCGAGCAGGGGATCCAGGTGACCCACCTGGCTGCTCGGGCGGCAGCCCCTATGGCCCCTGCCGCCTGCCTGGTTGCTGGAGGCGCGAGAGCACGCGACCGTTACCCCGGCCCGCGACCGTTACCCCGGCCCGCGACCGTTACGCGGCACCGCGCGCCCCCCGCCGCGGGCCCAGCCCCCGCCTCGCCGCTGTCCCCGCAGCCCCCGGCCCCCGCAGTCCCTCCTCCGGCGCTGATTGGCTGCCGCACGGCGGCCGCGCTCGCCATTGGTTGCAGCGGCTGCCACTTAGGACGGCGGCGGCTGGGGGAGACGGCGCGGTGGCTGCGGCCGTTTATTTGCTCCGCGGCGGAGGTGGGAGCGTGGTGGTGGTACCGGTATCATGGTGAGCCGTGCGGGTTGCCCTTGCAGGGAGGCTGGAGCCGCCTCGTGGGGATGGGCGGGATCCGGAGGGAGGCAGCGAGAGCGGGGATTCGGGCCCCGGCCGCCTTTTTTCTGGGGGAAGGTTGGGGTGAGTGTTGCGGTCGGTGGGGCTGGTGGGGCCGGGGCGGGATGCGGCGCCGCGGGTGCCTCCAGCCCGGTCCCTCACCGCGCCGCMTCTCCTGCCTCCCCGCCCGCAGTACGGCTTCGTCAATCACGCCCTGGAGYTGCTCGTCATCCGCAACTACGGCCCCGCCGTCTGGGAGGACATCAAGTAAGTGTCATCATCATCATCGTCGTCGTTATCTGCGTGCGTCCCCTCCCCTCCGCCCGCCGGGCCCGCTGTGCCGCCCGCTCGGCGCTTTGCTTACGGGCGGCTCTCTATAACCAGCGGCTGGGCCGGCTCTGCCAGCTGCGCCGGGGGCTCTTTGCCTTCGGGTGCCCGGGGCCTGGCTTAACGCGGCGCTAACTGCCCTTGCTCGGTCTCTGCTTGTCTTCTGGAGTCGCAGCAGGGGTTAAATAGGTCCCTGTCGTTGCCGGAAATACGCAGAGTATAGGGCAGAAGTAAGGAGCGGGCAGAGCATCCCAGAGAGCAGGGAGGTGCTCCCAGAGTCCCGCCGCTGGTTGATGAATGCAACAGCTACATCTGCCTTCCCAAAGGAGAGCAAGTATAGGCTTTGGCTAATAAACTCYTATGCACAATTCATATAAGCTTGTTTTTCTGTTATTTAATTGTGTAAGTATTTATATATACTCAGCTTGAAATTTTAAAAGCACTGCAYATAGAAATATTTGTAAAAGATGTAAATGTGAGTGGAGTTACAAGCTTTATTGGAGTTACAAGACTTCAAGTAACTGCATTTAGAAGAATCCTTTGTAAAACAGATGACTGAATATGATTTGTAGGTACAGAATATTTTTAAATGAGAACTTCTTCAACCTGGAAAAAGTAATACTTCAGCTGGACCTCTCCTCCTGCATTTCTCCCTCCCACTTAATGTGGTCCAGTTGTGGTGTTCTCATAGTCCTAACARTTTTGGAGCCAAAATGCTGCTTTTCTCTATAAATTTCTGTGATCATGATACATTCTTTCGTGAATCCATTCCTCAAAATGTGATAATCTAGTACAGTACTAAGAAAGCAGAAAATCTTCAAAATGTTGGTTGGAAGGGACCTCTGGAGGTCATCTAGTCACTTTTTGCTCCAGCCAAGCTTGTTATGAATGCTATATCATCTATATAGGTCTCAACTTTGGCTTTATCCGGCTGAGCCTTTTAAAACCTCCAAGGATGGAGAGTCCAYAGTTCTTCAGATAATCACTACTCCAGCAATCTGTAATGGTTAATCTGAGGATTATACTTTGTTGATGTTGATTCCGCAGTCTTTAGTGAACGTCATACAATTTTATACTCTAAGTGAGAGTTGTATATGGTCGTTTTTCTTGTGTGCTTTACCTAAACGTATCAATCTAATTTTTAAGGCCTGATATTAATTTTATTTGACACAGGAAAATAGGATTTGGTTAAAAATAAGTTAGACATGAATAACTTCTCATAAAAATTATACTAGAACATCTAAATATATGTTCCCCATTTATTATCGTGTCATCCCTTACCAACACACTTAACGGTGATGGGCCCTTTGCCCAAATTACCCAGTGAATAGAGTTTCTATCTGAGAAGTCTCTCTGAGAACATAYGAGGTGTCCTGCTGTAATGCAAGAATATGCTGAATTTGCAAGAATTTAAGCATTTATGTGACACAAAAAGACCTCTAGTAGCAGGAATCGGTGCAGAATTAGACTGCTAAGTTTCCTTTCTTTTTCCCTGTTGAGCTGATCTGCTGTTTTGTTCTTTCCAAAGTCACCACAGAAGCCATGAAACCGCATTGTAGAGTGATGGGTTGAGCTTGCTGAGTGATTCTCAAATGCTAGAGRTGAATTTGTACTTAACGTTCCTGGAAGTGATGGGACAACTCGCAACTGACTAAACTGCAACAATGACAACAGACCGTTCTTTGAAACAGACCTTCAGGAAAGTTAAATATTGAGAGTGTTTGTTCCTTCTGAAAGTGAAAATTTGTCTTCTGTGGCTTCTTCAGTCAAAAATGATACTAAGTAAAATTCATAACTATAGAGTTCTAGAGACTAAATAGCTGAATTTGATACACTTATGAGAGTGCTCTTTTTATTGCCATAATTTATTATTAGTTTATAGTTAGAGTAATAACTTCAAGTGTCTGTTTCTGATGTTTCATTATCTTTTTAACACTTTTGTGAAACCATCATCATTCTGAAAAAGATGACCATTGATTATTTTTCTAAATGTCTCAGAGTGGATTCTTGGGAAGGTTAGTCTCCATGTTTTCACCTATTTGTAAAACAAAGCACTCTTCCTTATACAAGAAATGATTTTTACAGTAAGACACTAAGCTCATGGAAAAATTACACTATATACTGTGAAATTTGAGTGAATATAAATTTTGATGAATTGGTGGAAATATGGTTGGATTTTGATACAGAACTAGAACTGAAAAGCATAAAAAACCAAAAATAGTTTAGAGCCTAAATYTAGGCAAAGAGGTTGAGATCAAAATAAGATGAAGGCAGATGACACATGAATAATGAAAAGTAATCTTTATTTATCATCAGTCTTTATTCAATTTTCTCAGCATAAAAGTCCTGAAAGTTTATTTCTCTTTAGTTTTTCTCTGGTTACTACTCATAATTAAGTGGAACTTCTCAGTTTGCTTTCTTAGGCCTGGGAAGGAGAGAGGTAGGACCTAGAATACCCGGAGACACACTGATCGCTCTCTGCTAACCTTGCAAGCTGTCACTTTTGTGCTGCCTGAACTGTTATTTAGAACTATTACCACATTTTTGCTGAGAAGATGCTTTTGATTTGTTATTTCCCTTCTTTAAGAAATAAGCTCTCTCAAATCCGTGGTTTTGTTATTGCTGCATGTAGACTTTTTCCAGACTGTGTGGTTACAATTGCTCTGGCTTGAAAAGCTGGTTCTCAGGATTCCTGTGGTGTTATACATCTTTAATTGTCCTGCAGCCAACATAAATACYGGTTAATATAAACAAAAAAATTCTGAGCCCTGACCACTTTCACATACATGCAGTTGTGTGCTTATGTCTGATCAAGGTCAAATCTATGCTGCTGGATGATGCAGTAATGTGTAAATCTGATAGTAAGTTGTGTTCATAGAACTGCTGCATAGGTAACCTAGCCAAAACCAAACATCATCCATATAACAACCAGAAAAGAAAACCAACAAAGAAGGCTTCTGAAGTTCTGTCTTCTCTGCTAGGTTCAAGAGATGTTCTTGTGCTGAATATATTTAAATAGGTTTATAGTTATGTGTTTTTAGGAGGTGCTTCTATGATGTTAAGATGTGAGCCATTATGCAACAGTTACATGTAGCTGAGTCAATACATGTGAGATCCTGAGCACTCAGTGCAGCAGCTTTAGAAGTTTAACTGCTTAGTGAACTGAACCATTACCAGGAATGCCTTCCAGAAACAGTAAGCCTAGCTTCAGGACCATACGTGGGAGCTAGAGCAATCTTAGGAGCAGAGAGTCTGTATGTAATTTACCCTGTGCTTTCCAGCAGTCTGCCTCTGAGTTTGGTTACCGCTAAAAGAATACAAGGGTTTCCTTTCCTTTTGGCTCCAAAATCTGAATTTGAGCCAGCTTAGATGCTCAAACTTCRTCCCTTTCAAATATGTTGTCAAGAAAAGGACCAAGAATTTGAACTTGAATCTCTTATTTATAAAACACAATAAATATCTGTGTTAAAATTTGTGCAGAAGCAGAACAGGCATCTCATGCCCCAAGAGCAAGGCATTCTGTGCTCTTTTGTACCTTAGTAACTTAAGTTACAGAAAACAAAACTAATATTGTGTCTTCCTACTGCTGTCTTAGTGCCTAACATGGAATCAAGGAACCATCCTGCCTTTGCCCTTTTTTTATACTACTTCTGTGGATCAGTAGTAGTGTGTTTTGCCCAAGATCTGTSTTAATTAAACTGGAAACTATCATTGTCACTTTTAAAAGTCAAACCTAACCATGTTGGCCTGAATATGAGCAAAGTAAACAGGTGGTTCAAATAGGCCTTGCTATTTGAGAAAAAAAAAAAAAAAAAGGGGGGGGGTGGATTCAAGTAGTTGATTTATGTGCAAAAACGTTCCTTGACAGAAGAAAGTAGGGAAATCTTGATTCTCCAGGTTATCCCCAGATGGCCTTACCCATGCAGCCCATAGCCTGAGCTTTCTCCCCTCTGTCTGTCAGACAAATCTTGGATCTTGTAGGTAGATCTGAGTAGACAGGGGCAGTCACTGCATGAAGGCAGTGGTATAATTGACCTTAGTAGCTAATTAAGAGAGAACTAATTAATGCTTGTCCATTATGCAAGTAAATTATACTTTATATATGTGGACCTGTTCCACAGAAAGGCTTATTAGAGAGGAGTAATTCTGTCTTCAGAACTGGATTTGAAAACTACGATGTAAATGAGGCTGATTATATTTTTTATATATTGAGCAATGAGATAATATGRAATATTGAATAGTTCCCCATGAACTTAGCAGGTTCTATCCTCAGGGCTGAAAGAAGCCATAGCCCTGGGGAAAAGAACCAGGCTGTGTAGGCACAGAAATGTCACGGGAAGGTGCATGCAGGCTCGGGGGTGCAGGAAATGTGCTTTGCAGCAAATTGCACTGGTGTTGCCAGAAATAGTATGCATGTCTGGTTTTGCTGCCTGCATGGGAATTAAAATAAAAATGCTTATTGCTCTCAGACATGGTTTTTCTTCAAACACATTATGGAAGATTTCACATTCTCTAACATTTCCCCTGAAATGTGTGTGTGAGTGTTCATATGTATGTAAATAGATATTTTTGAGTATATATTTTTGAGACATATGTGTGTTCATACATATGTTTGTGCATTTCTGTTATATCTAATAATTATATCTAGTGCAGGCTGGGCAATAAAGATGCAAAATAAATAGGTGATAAAAATCAAAGATCTGTGCAAAATGTGAATCAAGGCATTTCAGATTTGTCCCATGTGAATCATCTCTTGGAATTATTGGAGACTTGCTCTGTATTCCCCCTTCCCAGCCCTAAACTATCTTATTATAAAAAACAAGAATTTACTGTGAGAACTTTACAGATTGGCTATAGCTAATGTATCTGTTAATCTCAACAGTGTTGCAGGCATGCTTTGTTAATTATCTTAATTATATTCTCACCGTGATCACTGAGGA